GAGCATTAACTTACCGAGAAATTAAATACTTTACTAGCGGATAGTATACGTTCAATAAAAATTTAACATGCAAATAATAATTATAGATTGAAAGTAATTACATTTTGGATGGTTACAAAGTAAATACAAGTAAAATATTTAGTAGGTTTGCGACATTTGAAAATACATATCTAAGCAATGGTTAGCACTGGTCACATCGATTTGACGGCCTGAAGCATTAGCAGCTAAGGGTGAACTGAGAAGGCGCGCCATAAAATTACAAACATTTTTTCACAAATGGATCACACATTCAAAATACTCTCGATTTCGACCTCACCTAGCATTCAGTCGCACGATTTATAAATTAATCTGCAAAGAGCAGTAAAGTCCTTGTGAATAAATACTACACCCGTTTTATGTTATTGAAGGACTGCTGACTTTTTTATCCGTTATATGAGATGTATGTTAGTACTATCGTATAAACCTAATTTTGATCGGATTGACGAATTTTATGCAGAATAAGATATGACTTAATGGAGCTTATAAAGTTTGAATTAAGGAAGCCCTCAGGTTTTGTCTTAAAATTGCATAAATTTGTCGTATCTAGATTTAAAATAAGATATCCAGACGTGTTCAAGGGATTTTAGCCTTGTCTAAATCTTCGTAAATATTGCCTTATAAAAGGTAAATAATAAATCCACTGCTTGTTTACGAAATATCATACCAGTCAGAAGCACCGAAGGAATTCCGTATATCTGCAGAATATTAGCTAATATAAAGAAAAATTAGCATGGGTTCACTTTGGGATTAAAAAGCCCCTTTTAACTTGCCTTTAAATACATATTAATTAGGGTAGAAAAAATGCGATGCATTGTCTCGTCATTGAAAGGCGTCATACTGATTATATGGAAATGACGCATAAATCTGGGAGAAACATCGTTACGCCCTCCTCCAGGTGGACCCATTGCAGCCAAAAGGTAGATATCCTGAAGAAATATTTTCGTCGTATCTTTTAGGTCATACCTAAAGAATTAGGAAAAGTTAAAAATAAAATGTTTGTAATGTACTTTAAAATTGAAGGCTTAATTAAGAGTAGCCCAAACCAAGTAAAGTGGTTTGCATGCAATTTAATATGATTTAGTGCTTATTATATATGATTATTAAAATAAGGAAAGGTTTACTATATAATGAATCCATATAAGAAGCCAACTTACCAGTGGGCATGATCAAAAAACTGTCGGAGAAGTTCAATAGCCGGCTGAGCGCCATATACTTCTTTGGCAGGCATATTCATATCGTCGAGGAAGAAAACTGCAGTTTTCCCGACAGGTGGTCCGAATACCCCTTTACGGCGCCTATCAAGCTTCGACATTATTATATGCTGTTTCATAGTGTAAAAAATATTTTAATAGTTTAATAAATGCAATACTACCACACATTTAATAGGAATAAAGCATATCAAAACTAAGAGAACTCTTTAAAACAATACATGCTATTTACACTTAATAACTTCTTCTCAAAAGAGTTAGAGCATCAGTTTACACTTTACAATGTTACAAAAGTAAATTTCTCACCAAAAGGGAAAAGGAAAGTAGGCACTTAAGGTAAAAGTAGCCTTGCTTTAATATTTTGACGCAAGATTAAAAGGGTCAGAATTCGTGTTTTTAGTTGATTCATTGTGAGATTATCGTATCTACCTTTCATATATATAAATCTTTAATTATTTAACGAACATCAGATCAAATTTTTACTTACGAAAAATGATTAATATTTTCCAATATGATTTATAAAACATAGGAATGGAATGCACTTCAAAAGTGCCATTTATTGCTTTTAGTCGTGAAATTAAGAATTTGTTCCCTTACATAAAACCTTCAAAATAGAACAAGAGTGTAGTCTGAAAGCACAAATATGGGGTAAAAAAGTGTAATCATCAGAGGGTATTATAAACCTGAACTGTAACTAGTTCGAGAATCCACAAATAGTATTATCTGAAAATATCTTTACAAGCCGATAAGAAAGTGGATATCAAACACACAAATATCCTATGCGTGGAGTGGGAGCTAAATGCAGCCAAACGTTTAAATGAGTTGAAAGTATATACTTACACACACACATATATATATATATATATTCATATAGTTATGATTAGTCTTGCAAATAAAATATAAATAATGCATACCTGTGTCTGATTGGCACTAGTTTGCGCAGAAAAGTTAATAAAG